CCCTGTAGGCCTCATCAGCTGACAGCTGCCACTAAGCAACTTACCTCAAACCCTGAGCTAATGAGGTGGCAGGCACCAGGGAAGACCTAAGCACTCAGAAAGGGTTCCTTTGCTGGAATAAAAATTAGTGAACTAGATCACAGTGCTGTTATGTAAAAAGCATGGCTCTGAGTTGATGGATCAGATACTAAGCATCTTTACTATTGTCCTCATTTTATATATATATATATATATATATATATATATACAAAAAAAAAGCAAAAAACATGTATTAAACATTCAGACTTTCAGGGATGAATCCAAAGGGAGGGAACCAGGTGTTCATGCTTGTGACCCCTAGTTTTTGGCTTTCTGTCAGTGCTTTTTAGAGATAATAATATATGTATTCACCTGGAAAATCCCTTTGAAGAAATCAAGGACCAAGAGAGGGGATAAAATCCTTGCATGTATCGTGAAAGACAGTGTACAGTGGTGCTGTGTGACTTAAAAAGTAGGATGATTGTAAACAAGTTAACATTTAAGCAAAAGTAAACACTTCTTTCAAAAAATAAAGCCTTCTCTTTTATAGGGAGAACTACATGAATGTGGAGAATGTACCTTTTGGGTTCAAAACTTTATTCTCTGTGCTTAGCAGAAAGCAGATATTCAATATTTCTGAGTTGATTTTTAAAATTAGAGTCATAAGTGTTAGGATTCTACTTAATTTATCCAAACAAATCTTACTCTTTAAAGTAAAACGACAAGTTACAAGGAAAAAATTCAATTCTATCTAATTGCCTCTAAAAAAGCAAAGTTTACTATGAAGAATTAATGTAGGAAATTGGAACACTGAAATGAATCCCTTTGGGGATCTATACATGAAACATTAAAACGAGAGTGGGAGTGAAATATTTCATTGACTTCCTTTTGTATAGTTTCATTTTATTATAAGAACATGTAGCATAAGATTTTCCCTCTTCACAAAGTTTTAACTGTGCAAAACAGTTATTTCAGACTATAGGCACACTGTTGTACAACGATTTCTACAGTTTATTCATCTTGCTGAACTGAAACTAAATGCCCACTGGTTAGTAACTCCCCATTTTTCTCTCTACCCAGTTCCTAGCAACAACCACTCCATTCTTGAGTTTATGACTTGGTCTATTTTAGATTTTTCGTATATGTGGAATTGTGTGGTATTTTTCTTTCTGAGACTAGCTTATTTCTTGTTGAATAACATCCTCAATATCATCCACGTTTTCATGTCTTGCAGAATTTCTTTCTTTTTAAAGGCAGAATAGGATTTCATTATACACATTTTCTTTATCCATTTATCTGTGATTGGACACATATGTTGTTTCTACAACCTGGCTATTAGGAATAGTGCTACAATGAACATAAAAGTGCAAATATCGTTTTGAAATCCTTATTTAAATCCTTTTGGATATATGTACCCAGAAATATGTTGTATCATAGGGTAGTATTACTTAAAATTTTTGAGAAGCCTCTATACTATTTTCCATAACAGTTTCACTATTTTGCATTCCCAGCAATAGGGATCCAATTTCTCCACATCCTTACCAATGCTTGTTGTATTTTGTTTTGCTTATTTCTACAATTACAGTTTTTAAAAATCTCCGTAGATACAACTAAATTCAACTTTGGATAATGTCAAAATCAAGCTCTCCATATTTTAAAACTATTTCTGTAGGAAACAAATAACATATTCAACCACCTGCTCCAAGGCAACAGGTATGGTAACAATGATTTGCTGGAGTCAAGTGGTAGCTGACACTTTTCAAAAATCTATTTTCCCATGATGAAGGAAAAGTAATCTGAGTGGTTGTTCAGAAGATGATCACAGTTTTCATTTTAAATTTGCAATGCAAAAGAAGAAATATTATGCCAAATTTTCTTTTCATTTACAAAGACTACTGTTTAAGTAGAAAAGGAAAATAGCAATTAAAAACTGTTCAACAAATACGGGCAAATGACAGAACAAAATGTTAATAACCGGGAGCACCGAACCATGTGGATTTGGGCTCACACAGTGGTCTTTAAATGAGTGGGAAATACAAGTGCTCTTGTCTGCTGTTCTGAAGTGCATTTGTGTAAATCAGAAATTACAACAAGAGAATTGTTCTTGGCTTCCTGAATACTTCCTGTGAACTTTTGAAATTCAATCTGTATCTTTATGTACACAATTACTAAAGGGATAATAACTTCAGATGGGTATGTGTGGTGTAAACTCTAGCTTCCTGGGATTTTTTCATTTCTTAGTTTTTTATCATAAGCTTCTTATCAATATACTATTTAAAGAGTTTCCATTTATAGATATCTTGAGAGGACAGGAAAATCCTGTGTAGACTCTAATGTAATAACCTTTTGGTTTATTTATCTAGTAGATAAATATAGTGGCATAGGCAGGCCTCTAAAATTTTATTTAAACAGGTTGATTGAAAAAATAATATTTAATGAAGTTATGCTTCTGAAAATCTCTATTTTCCTGCTTTGGTCCATGTCACAATAACCATACATATATATGCTTATACAGTTATGTAGAGCTGAATAACATCTTGGTTAATGATGAATTGTATATACAATAGTAGTCCCTAGGATTACATCACCTAAAATCATATACTAGTTTGTGTAATTATATTCCATGATGTTCCCACATGACAAAATTATAATAAAAAATAGATGTATTTCTTGGAAACCTTCTTAGCATAATTTTTTTCCGTTCCCTTCCTTTCTTATAAATCTGTTGCCTTCTCATAAGGATGGACAAATATTTTTTTGAATACCATTATTGCCTTTTTTTGGTACCTAGGATTGAAATCAAGGAAGGGCACTCAACTACTGAACCACATCCCCAGCCCTATTTTATATTTTATTTACAGACAGAGTCTCACTGAGTTGCTTAGCACCTCACTTTTGCTGAGGCTGGCTTTGAACTTGCAATCCTTCTGCCTCAGCCTCTCAAGCCTCTGGGATAATATTGGGCATTTTTAAATGCAAAGCACATTATGTATTTCCTTTATGAAAACTTTTAATAGTTAAAAAAAGTTCCAACTCTGTCATTCATAGATCTAGTTTCAGTACATAACAAATTACTCCCAAACCTAGTGTCATTAAACAAGTATTTATCATGCTCAGAAATTCCTGGGTTGGGAATTTGGAAGAAACATAGTGGGATGACTTTTCTCATTCTAGGATGCTGTGAGCCTCCTTAGGAAGACTGGGAAGCTGGGAGCTGGATTCATCTGAAGACTCAATCACTCACATGTCTAGCAATTGATGCTACCTCATCCTCCTTATTTGAGTCTTTTAATGAATGTATTCTCTCTGCATGGCCTAGTTTGGACTTCTTCACTCCTTGGTGATTGACATCCAAAGGCAAGAGTTCCAAGCAAAGAAAAGCCAAGCAGAATCTCCAGCCTTTTGATAACCTAACCTTAGAAATGACATGACATGACATCTTTTGTACAAAACTTCATTGGCTAGAGAAGTCTGGAAACCATCCATGTTCTAGAGGAAATAGAATCCATGTATTTATGGGAAATGGGAATGTTCTGGAAGAATGGAGAATGTGCACTATTGTGGTCATTTTGTAAAAATATGATTTGCAAAAGATTTTCACCAGCTGGTCTTAACCTGCTTTCTTGGTTGGATGCTGCACTAATTCTACATGAAATAATTCCCCCCTATATATATTCAACAACTGCGATGTTGAATAGAACAGTAAAGACAGGTTTCAAATCATTCTCAGGACTGTTTTTGTGTCCAGTACGCTAAGGGAAGATACTTTTAGTGATATAATATCATAACTTTTAATAGCTGAAGAAACATAACTAATAGGTTGAATGAATTTCCTTTTCTGCTTACATACTCAGCAAATACAAAAAAAAAATGTTCTTCACCTTTCTTATTCTACACCTCCGCTCCTAAAATTTGTTGCATCTGAAGGGTCTTTTATTATAAACGTATTGATTTTTCAGGTCTCATTCAAATGCCATCTGCCCCATGAGGTCCTCTTATAAGGGAGTGATCCTACCCCTTGGCTAAAGTCCATAGTGCTTTTGGGCCTCTCTCACTGTGCGTCCCACATAGCTACTATAGAGTATTTTTCATGTCCTCTGTCAAACCAAAAGGTCCTGAGAAGTGAGTATCAGAGCCTCTCTCTATTCATACTTTCCATAGACAGTGCCCTGAATGTTCTCTTCCTCAATAGAGTGTTAATTGATGAACAACAATTCACTCAAACCCAGACATTAAAATTTTGCTGCAGCCATACCTATGATTTTGAATGTCATTTTTGTTCTTCTCCTCATAAACAAGAAAGGAAGACAGAAGAGAATAAAAGCATAAACCATAGTTGAAGAAGTGATAGTTAAAAGCAATTACAATGATCCAGTTTTTGTGTTAGGAAGGAAGATGAAATTATTTTAAAAAGAACAATAAAAAATAAAAATAATATTGGAAAGACACATCTTATTCTATAAAAATTCAAGAGACTATATGTTTACGGAACATACAATAAATTTCATTGTACTGTTTTTGGAAGTATTAAGGATTGAACCCAAGGGACCTCTACCACTAAATACATCCCCAGCCCTTATTATTATCATTAAAATTTTGGGACAAGGTCTTTTTTAGTTGCCTTGAACTTGCTAGCCTCTTGCTTCAATATCCCAAGTATTGAAATTACTGTGCCTAGGAGTCATTATCAAAGACAGAAGAGTGGAAACAAGTGGATAGAATGCTGAACGCCGTTTAGAATGTATTCATTCAGTCATTTCATTCATTCATTCATTCATTCATTCCATAATGCACATTTATTTAGCAACTTTTAAAATACCAGGCACTGTGGTTAGGGATTGAATCTTAAAAAGATGATCACACTCAATCCCCTCCCACATGGATTTCACAGTCTAGATTGGGATGACAGAAAGTTAATAGTCCTAATAGTATCATGTGATTAGTGCTGTCCTCAGAGCTGGATGCCAGCTGCCACTGTAATCTCATACATGTTACATCTCTCAACTGCGTAGATGAGTTCCAATTCTCTGTGTGCCTGTGAGGCAGCTCAGAGTGGACATCAACCAGCAAGGGCTTCCTAAGGCTGAATTCCTAAGGCAGAATTCCCAACTCCCATCCAGTTTGTTTGGCTTCAGGTAAGTAAGAAAGTGAAGATTCTCTATACAGGTAACTGCATTTCTGAGCCTCCTTCACTGACTTCTGAAATGCAAAAGGTTTTATGAGATGCTCTTCTGATTTCTGATATTTCCCCCTTTGCTAACTTAAAGGTCTTTTCCACTCCTCATGTGTCAATCCACATAAATGAAGAGTAATTAACTTTCAATTATATCTACTCTGACCTTGAATAATTTGAACATCAAAGTTAGAAGTTAATATAATAAATGGCATTGGAATTTAAGAGTAAGCAAAATAGTGGTTTTTCTTGAAAAATTGACATAGTGCCTCCTAAAGCATTGCATTTTTAGTTCATGGGAATAACGTGCTAGAAATTAGGGGGATCAGAAGTAGTATTCATCACCTTTACAACAGGAATAGGTGCCCCATCTTGAAAGAGTTCTGTTTTGTTGATACCTTTTTTATTGTGAAACAATAAGAGACAATCTTTTCTCTTGTCCTTGCTTAAGAATTTACTTTGCTTGTTGCCATGGTGACAAATCCATAGTCTCAGCTGATCACTGTTTTGAACCCTGAATCTTTTGACCCTCTGAAACCAGCAATATAGGAAAGGTAGAAAAGCAAGCACTAAAATACCTTCAAGTAGACCAATTTATGGAAATGCATGCTCTGCTGCTTTGCTCTAAACTCTATCCAGTACAAAATCTCTAGCATTTTAAAGAGAAAAATACAAATGGGCTCTGAGCCTTGAATTCTCAAACTATTGTGAGATTAGTTTTATGAAAAATTCTGATAGAACCTGTCTCCAGGTCTCCATACATAACAATTTTGACCTTACAAAAGCATCATGATTAACTTTTCAGATACTTGGTATTCTAGTTTAAAAGCATGTAGAAATGTGTACAAAACAAGACTTACCCTACAGTGATCTTATAATTCATTTGCATATTATAAAATCAAGTTCTAAGTAGAAAATATTAGAGAAAATAAAAATGAATACTACCTGTAAACAATGGTTTTAGTTTTTAGTGCATAAAAATTAAAGAGGAAGTATCTTTTGAGGATAGTATCCAAATTACTGTCCAAATGAATGGACCAGACTTTGCTATATTTAATTTACTTATGCATTTATTTATTACTTCATTAATATTTATTGAGTTCAACCATGTGCCAGTCAATGTTCTCAGGACTGAAGTTCCAAAAATTTATGAACTATGTCAATTGTCTTTGGTCTTCTGAATGTCCCATTTTATAAGGTGATGGAAAACTAACAGTAAACAAGCAAACACATGCACACACACACACACACACACACACACACACACACACACACACACACCAGACAGTGTTTGATAGACATAGGTACCAGGAAAGAAATGGTGACATGATTGAAGTGACAGTGGGCATATTCTAGAACAAAGACACAAACAACAGAAGTATGTGCCTGGTAAACAGAGTGAGTGAGGGGAGAAGAGGAAAAGGAAGACAGGAAGGTTCAAGCAGAGCTTTGGAGGGTGTTTTATAGTCTCAAATTTATAAGTTCAATGAGAAGTCATGGGAGGACTGTAAACCTGAGTACAGTAAACATGATTGGGTTTTTATTTTTTAAGGTAGCCGCTGGATATTTTACTCTTTACAACTATAATTTGATTATCTGTTTAGAAGTCATCAAACATTTAATTTTGCATGACTTGGATATTAAAATTAACAGATCATATATGCATAATCCAGTGATTGCTGGAGCCAACTTTATGTCTGGACCTAACAATAGTATGAATCCTCAGTGTTGACCTTTAACTGTCCCAAGCTTTGATTTTTGTGATGCTATTGATGACAGTGATGGTTACTTAAGGATACCACCACCAGCAGCTCCTACCATTTATTAAGAATTTACATGCTTCAGCTATCATGATGGATACTTTGTATTCTGTATTACACTTAAGCCTTAAAAGAGCAGATCAGACACAATTCGCATTGTCTTGGAGTACCCTTCTGGACTTCAAGCAGAGTAGACAATGAATCAGGAGTCAATCCAAGATTATCTACACTATAAAATGCAAACTCTTTGCCATCATACTTTTCTGTCTTGAAATGTAATCTGGCAATTATTAAAAATATCTTGTAAAATATCTAAAACCAAAATACTGTTTTAAATTCAGAAGTTAATATTTTTTCTTTTTTAAGATATTGATGGATCTTAATTTTATTTGTTTATTTATATGCAATGCTGAGAATCAAACTCAGTGCCTCACACATCCTAGGAAAGTGCTGTACCACTGAGCCACAACCCTAGCCCCCAGAGGTTAAATTTTATCCAATAAGTAGATATTTGGTTTTGAGTAGAAGACATATCTACAGATCCATTAGTATCCTTTTTTTTCTTTATCAAACACGTAAGAGTGGAATAAATTAAAACAATGGCATTGGCATTTAATTTGTGTCAAGACAACACGAGTTATATTGATATTTTAAAATATATTATATTCTAAATAATGTGACCAGGAACAGAACAAAAACATTATTAAATCAATAGTATTTCAATCCATAAGAAAAAGAATACAAAAGCTAAACCCACTGTCATGTTTTTGTCTCGAAATATAGTGTAGCCATCCCTTGTAAATCAGGGAGTAAATGATTTGCATATCAACAATTATCTAAATTATAACAAGAGAACATTATTTGATTATTAAAGGTACTTTTCCTTAATATCTAATTCATGGGATATCTTTCTTCCAGAGAGACTTGGATCTCTTAGCAAAACAGTACAATTTTAGCTTAAAAAATAGTATTAGCTGTTGTTTCTTTCCCAGCCTTGAGCATTCTGCTGGGCTTCTAGCCAGAATACCATAAAGTCCTTTTTTTCATTTTTTGCAGTTTTTTTGCTTAAAACTTTGTAAATATCTTTAATCATCTAATGCTCACTACCATTCAGTTCCTTTTTAAAAAGTGAACTTAGTAATCACACATTGTTTCCATATTTCTTTTTCCTGTGTGGCTCCCTGTCTTCTGATACATGCATTATCACACCTTGAATTGCCCATCCACACATGTTGCTTTGAAGGGCAAAGTAAGTAAAAAGGGGAGGAAAAAATATAAAATGACTCTTATGTCCTCTGGGATTCTCATTAGATTATGTCTAAAGTCTGTATTTTTTATGGCTCTATTATACCTCTAATAACAGTATGATTAGTTTAATGTTTGGGGAAATATAACAATGAGCTATTACCACCCCTGTTTTGCGATGAAGCAAGATTAGTGGTCAAATTACAGAAATTCATGACAGAGTTTTAAAGTATTTATTTTGGACTGAATAAAAAGGAAGTCAGACTATTCTGGAGCTTTCAATTCTACCCCAGTACACACATATTGTGGGAAGACAGGCTGCTAATCACGCTTGAATGACTTGTTATTCAATAACTTCCAAGCTTCACTCAAGTATCATTTACCTGTTTTTAATATGTGAATCACCAAAAGCAATTACACAATTCCTCTTTGCAAAACATGTATTTTTAGCAGGGGCCAAGGGATGGCCTCTACCACCCCTGCCCTAACCTTGGGCAATGAAGAGGGAGCAAGATACATGTGCTGGTGAGCAAGGCAGAAAAGTTAGCACAGGACTCTGCCTTGGAGCTCAGTAGAAGGCGTGGTGCAGTGAGAGCAGCATCAGGCAGAAAACAAAGGATCCTATATGAAAACCAGAAATCATAGAGCCTTAGACCTGCCACAGCATCAGATGGAGATCTTTGTCCCAGTGGATCAGACTTTGTTTTGACCTGTATCACTGCTGTCATCAGAAGGGCTGGGGGCACACGCCCCACACTGTACAGGCCTTTGTGTCTGTAAGGTTTAGTGCAACCCAAATTAGCATAAGCCTTAGTGGCCAAAGGGACTGCCTTCACTGTCCCAACTTTGGGCATCATCATTGCATGGAGCAAGACCATTCACTGGGCGTAGGACAGGGTAGTAAGCATAGAAACTGGTTTTATAATTTACTGCCAGATAGTAAAACCTAACATTGAGAAGATTCTAATGGCCCCCATACCCAGGTGAGGTCCTGCAGATGGAGTCTCTGAAATATCCCTAATGCCCAGGTAAAAACACATGGCCCTAGTCTATCAGAATCTCTTCTGACCAGCATCATCTGTTGCTGTACCAAGTGGTGTTGGTTCATGAGTCAATCTCAGCAATTGGCAGGCCATAGAAGCATGGGGCTGTGTCCTACCTCTTTACTGCACAGGTCTGGGTGGACTGTGAGCTCAGGGTACAGCACAGCATTTCAGCAATGGTGACCACAGGACTTTCCACTCAATTCCTCTCCCAACCCAGGTAACACCATATGGATAAAGTAACTGCTTGGGAGAAGAAAAGGGAGATGGGCACCAAGTAATGCCAAAGGAACGTGGGGTCATTGCATTTATCATGTTTCTACCCAGAGGTGGGTAGAATCCTTTAGTGTCTGACCAGTAAAGGACTGGTGGTCTATGAAGGAGGAGTTTAGACCTAACCTATCCCCTGGGAAGTTCTTAGAGGGGCAGGATATTCTTTATGAATACTTTCCAAGTTCTTGCTGAACAACATACCAACTGCATACTTTAGACTAAATGGGGCTTGGTTTGCCTTCTCATGCTGAAACAGGAACAACATACCCATAGCAGAATTGCAACAAATCTAGAGTTAGGGCACTGTCTAGAGCTGAAATAGTTGAAATGACGACAGTTACAGAGAAAATAAGCAGACTGCTTAAAATTTTTGGAAAGATGAGGAAAAAAAACCTCACAAACCAAATTATAAATAATGGAATAAATACCCAATCCTTCAATGTCAAAATGATATCACACACAAACAAGCATTAAGAACTGAAAGGGAACCATGGCCTTATCTAATAATCAAAGTTGCCAGAAACTGACTAAATAGTAAATAATGTGGGGAAACTCTGGAGAATTTAAAGCAGCTGTTTTAAAGAAAGTCAAGAAGCTTCAAGAAAATAGATAAACAATTCAATGACATTAACAGAGACACT